ACTCTCAGTTTTGCTGTTTTGCTTCGACCACGATGCACAGCTCTCTCTCTCTCTCTCTCTCTCTGTACTTCAAGAACAGTTTCCCGTCTAAAAATCTGTTTTCTTCATTATTCGCTTGCTTGTTACGCACCAGTCTACCGTTATTTACAGCGCTGTCGGCCGATGTTTTATATACTTCCAAAAAGAAAACCTAATTTCTGCCGTTCAATACTGAACAAATTTAAACTTTTTAAAATTATGCAAAATGCAAAACGCTTAGTGTGTCTCTAATAAAACCGTTGTAACTTCAGAGGTAATGTTCCTAAGTTGATTAATGGCTTTCTTTCGTTTTTGATCTACTGCAGAATATTTTTATAAAATCCCAGGCCAGAAAAATCACCTTCATGTTTTTCTGTGTTTTATCTTCAGCTACTTTGACACAAAGGCATCTGCTGTGATGCTCACACCTTTGATAAAGTCTCACAAGTGTCAGCTTCCTTTTTATAGATACAAAAATATGTGAATGTACTGATCTGAATTATAATATTTCTGACTGTCTGAGGCAAAATTTTCCAGATTTAAATCGAATCAAATCGAATTGAATCGATTCTAGAAATCAGTGACGATACCCAGCCCTAATTACAATCCTGTTTTGTTGTTTCTTGTGTAAAAGGTTATTCTTGGATTGTTCCCATTTTACTTACCAACAGCTATCAAACAAATTTGGACCCGTTCAGGGATCTTTTCCTCCTGCCTGGAAACGCCGTCTTTAACATCCACGCCAGTATATCCACTACGTCTCCTCCACACATGTCAAGCTACTTCAACCTTCCCTCAACTTTTTCTTCAAACAGAATTTCTCATACAGTACCATCCTATCATATGCTTTCTCTAGATCCACAAAAACACATTGTATGCTTCTCCATCAACACTCTGAGTCTAAAAAAGAAAACATCTGTGATGCTCTTTCTTTCCATGGAGCCATTCTGCTGCTCACTGATTGTCACTAGATTGGGGTCCACTGCCCTCTCTCCTACACATCTCCATACCTCCACAGGTTTTTAACAATCGCCTTTTTACTCTTCATCATTTTGAAGCTAACTGCAGTCCTAAATGGCTTTAATCATTGGACCTGCTTCCCACATGCCATCAGACTGTTTAACCCCTCACTGGAGGGGAGAGGGAGGAGAAACAGGGGGACAAGGGAGGGCGGGAACAACTGAGCTGTAGGTGCTTTTCTACACTGTGCAATATTTGTTTTTTGTTTTGTCTTTTTTTCTTATATTCGACTGTGCAATAATCACTGTGCAATATACTCACTCAAATGAGCAATCCTATTTATCCATATTGTATATTCTGTATCTATATATGTGTATATATGGTGTATTTATGCTTATATCCTTACTCTTATTCCCCTTTATTGTATCTGTAACATGCAACTTCTTTCAGTGCTTTGCTACTGGAAACTGAATTTCCCGGAGGAACCCACCCTAGGGATTAATAAAGTTTCATCTAATCTAATCTAAGTGTAAAACGTTCATGTGTAATTGTGTGTGGTGTGAGCTGGAAGCCTTACTATAATCCCATCTGTGATAAAGAGGATAGCTCCTCCGAGAGCGTGGATGATGAAGAAAGTAGCAGGGCGATCCCGGAGTTTGGCAGGGTTACAGCAGCTAAAAACACTCCCATGTCCTGGGGAGACAGTCACACTCAGAGGTCTGCACTTTCATCTCAGCAAAGTTGTCACACAGACACACAAACACGTGTGCACTACCTTGGTCCGTGTCCCCCGTGGGGCTTCTGTTGGAGTCTGCATCAAGCAGACGTGGACTGCTTCTGGAGCAAGGCAGCAATCGCTCATGGGACATCAATGCGAGCACTGCTGCTGGGACAGGGAGCTGTCAAAACACACAAACACACAGACACACAATGAGAACGTTGTTCACCAAATGAAGAGGTAACACTTCCTGTTTGTATGTTTGTGAGAACCTCTTCTCACAAACATACAATCTTCTTTTCTCGTCGTCCGCTCGAAACTGATCCAGCACTCTGAAAATGCTGCACGCAGTGATGGGAAGTCTGTTTACTTCATCTGAACTTCTGTTACTTCTAACCCAGATAAACTGTAAACAAGAGGTTTAGGCAACTCTGAGGAGCAGCAATGCTATCTGGAAATGTCATTATATCATTAACTTCCATTTGAGCCATTTTCATGTGAAATTGTTCAGCACTACTCGGGAAATCTAGTCATGGGATACATCAGTGATTTCATTATGGGGAAGAAAACTTCGCTAAAAATCAGTGCAGATTGTTTTGTTTCTTCGCCGCCA